AGCAGAAATGACATAGGATCACATTAGATAAATTGAAATAACCCACCATATTCATGGATTCTACATTGGTGGATTCCACCATCAGATCTGGAATTCAGATCTGGTCTTCTGCCTTACAACCTCATCACATTAGGAAATAAACTGTTTCTATCAGTATGCACCCAGTAATTTTTTCTGGCAAAATGCATACTGAATGCAGACAGGATGCATACTGACCCCATCACACCCAACTACTACTATTTTTACCTTCAGAAAATGCTGAAGACTGGCTCCTCTCAATCCATTTGAAATACTCCCTATGTTTTTGACTTTTTTCCTATTTCTTTCTAAATCTGTGCGGTGATGTAGCCTCTAAGCCTCAAAATACGACTCTCACAGGATTTGAAAACATACTTGCATCTGCGCAGCAAAGGCATTAGCCTGATTGCTACCTTTTGGCATGAAATATGGAGTTCTGAGAAACCTAATAAGGACTTTTGAGGACTCTATTGTTACGGAAGAAGAAATTGGGCAGATTCCAGATATTTTAAAAAGATGATGATGATGATGATGATGATGATGATGATGATGACGTAAAGGGGTAATTTATGATTTCCTTAATACAGAAGATCTTTCTCCTTTGACATCCCAAACAGAAATGGTGGCTACTTCCATCATGAAATTCCAGGGCCATGAGACTCCATCCATCAGACACACACCCTGATGACAAGTCATATCATTGTATACTGATTTTCCGATCACACACAAAAACTGTACTTTAGCAACAAAAAACTGTGTGGTTTTTCAAACACTAAGATTACCATATTGTCTAGAAATACTCTGTTTCTGTGATGTTTAGCAGACGGATTTCAACAAGTTGTTGACTGGTTGGGGTAAACATGTGATGGGATCCATTGGAAGTCGTTCTCAATCAGTCTCAGAAATGGAGTATTTCTTAATGTGATGAGGTCTCTAGCCCAATGCATAAAACACTATTCTGGCTCTCTCTCTTTTATGAAAGTTCAAAATTGATCATCACCAATGGGTTTCATGGCTGGATAGGGATTTGAACTCTGTTCGCCAGAGTCATAACCCAGCACTCCAACCACTACACCATGCCCATCACTGCCACTGAATTTTGCACTTCCCTTAGCTCTATCTAGGAATTTTGCTCAAACTTAGAGCCCTCTGAATGGAGCACTTTTAGTACTCTCCATGGTACTGTTTTTATGATGTTATGTTTTATTGTGAAATGTTTCTATTTGGTTTTGTTTTGGTTTTATTTTATTGTGTTATATTTTTAACTCTGCTCTCTGGGCTTGTCCCTTTGCAATCCGCCCCAAGTTCCTTCGGGGAGATGGAGGCGGGGTATAAAAATTGCTGTTGTTGTTGTTGTTGGCTTAATGAATTAATATTCTGCTTTCATAATAAAATACCTCATACTTCCACCTAAAAACTCCACCCACATGCGACTGGAAGCTTCTTCAACAGGATTAATAAAAACCTCAGTATCTTTGTACTGTATCGTGTGACTTGGTTTGTCATATGACAGAGCAAAAGCCATTGTTGAGTCAGGCTTCATCATGCCAGTTTTGAGAGACTGAATACATATTCTGTTTTCAAGCTTTTCTTGGAATATGTATATCATATTTGAATCATCTTTTATAAGCAGAATGGATAATTAATGAGAAACCATTATTTCCTTCATTAGTGAAATAAGTCATTCCATGAATATGCTATGAGCTTTATACCATGCTTTTGCATTATTTCCATTCTGTTAGGGTGGGGGCAAGCAAGCAAACAAAGCTTGAAAAAGTTACCTTTTCACCACATAGTTTCTAACCTCTAGAAAGAAGCAAATATTGTCTTCCCATCAGATCGCTGACTTGCCGAGCGCAGTTATTAGTGTTTCAGAACTAACTCATCCCATCCCCTTGTGACATTTATGCAGGAAGATAACTTTCCCTCACATTGGCATTGCCATGGGAATGTATTATAATGATAACTTGCTTGGCAGTTAATCAGAATGAAGCTGCACAAAGCCTGAGCAGCAAGTTCCTCATTATAGATAAAGTGTTTCACTCCTACTGGGGACTGAAGCTTTGTCTCACATAATTACTGCTAGCTTTTTATCTCTCAAATTGAATTTTTTGTGGGGGGGGGGAGTCTCTTTACTTGCTCCTCGGGCATCAAGCAATTCTGCTTTAATCAGGACATAACACAGCTTTCTCCTGGTTTTCTATTTTGATGTTTGTGAATGGTTAATAGGAGATTCTGGAGGTAGCAGCTATTGATCTTGCCTGTTATAAGGAAGCACTGCTTGTTAGGTCATGATCAGTTATGATAGAATCCCATTTTCCTCGTCCAAGCTTTAACACTTCGTTTATTACAGATACATCACTGCACCTTATCAATCTGTGTTTCTGTTGTCCTGTTGCACCAATGCTGCTTTGTATTCCAGTTAGACCAGTGGTTCCCAGCCTGTGGGCCACGACCCACTGGTGAGCTACGAGACCTAAAATAAGATCCGTGGCTCTAGATGATTAAATATGGTTTTCTGTGGGAGAACAGATGGAGACTACTGGATGGCATATGTTCTGTATCGGAAACTAGAGCTGATGTGGTCTGAATCAGCACTCCAAATAACCAAACTGAGCAAAAACTAATTCATAACCCTTTTGGTACTAATGTTGGAGAGTGGTCCCTGGTCAAAGTGGTCCCTGATTTTAAAAAAAAGGTTGGGAACTACTGAGTTAGACAAAGTTAAACAAGAAGGAAAAAAGCAAGATAGACTGAACAGGCATAAATAAATTTTGTAAAAGATCAGGAAAATTTAAAACTTTTTTGTGTCAAAAGCATAATATATATAAAAAAGTATAAAACTGATAAAATAGAGGGAACACAAGCAGCTAAATAATTTTTGACCAAAAATGGGCAACGGCGGTCACATTGTCTGTAGCTTTAAAGAGTTCTTCCTCTGTGCATGAGGCAGGGCATTGTGGGCAAGCATAGAGATGCTGAGTTTTTGTTCTGCTCCACAGTCACAGAAGGTGGAGGATTCTTCTAGGTAGTGCCATTTTGCCTTTTGAACTGCCCACTCCACTTCTGAATCTGTTCAGGGACTTCCAAGTTGCCCATTCTTGGATTGCTCCTGGAGGAAGACCCTCATGGGGGGCCATCCAGTTGGGATTTCCTGGTTTAGCTGCCCAGAGGTATAATCTTGTTGCTGCTGGAGGAACATTAAGGGTAGTGGTGGTTTTTATGAATCAGCCTTGATTGACTTATCCAATGTGATTTCTTTACTTCTCTTATCCCCTTCTCTGAGTGGCAAAAAGCAAGAAAGAGAACATAAAAATCCCCTCTGAATTCTATGATGCTGATTCTGGTTTTTTAAAATGTCTGAGCAGGGAAATGACGTCAACATTGGTACTTTTCTCCCTTCAAGAAAAGACCTTGAACTTATCCGTGGGTCATATAAAAATCTGTAATTTGGGATGCAAAACCTGCCCTCAACTATTTATTTATTTATTTGTCGTGTCAGAAGCAAATTGAGGGTACATTTATAATATATTTAAAAACATAAACAAAGTTAAAAACTTGGCATTATACTAAATGTCCTTTGACCAAAAGCTGGCCACTTGGAGTGCCTCTGGTGTTGCTGTAAGAAGGTCCTCCATTGTGCATGTGGCAGGGCTCAGACTGCATTGTAATAAGTGGTCTGTTGTTTGCTCTTCTCAACACTCTCATGTCGTGGACTCCACTTTGCAGTCCCATTACTGAAGATTGGCTCTGCACCTTGTGGTTCCAGAGCACACACTGTTCAGAGCCTTCCAAGTCGCCCAGTCTTCTGTGTGCTGAGGGGGGGGGGTTCTCATCCAGTATCAGCCACTCATTGAGGTTCCAGGTTTTAACCTGACACTTTTGGACTCTCTCTTTCTGAGGTGTTCCTGTGAGTATCTCTGTAGATCTTAGGGAACTATTTTTTTATTTAAGGTATTGGGGTGCTGGCTGATATCTGAACAGAACTTATTCTTGAGATTAACATATTTATTAGTATATACCAGTACCTTACATGCAAGAGACCTGAACAAACATGTATGTGTATGTATGCAGCTAGTCTCTTACACTAATAGAGATTTTACTTCTGCATGTATTCTTCAGATTGTGATTACGATCTTGATTTATATAGCATCGGAAACCTTGTAAAACACTGAATAGGCAGTTTGTATTTTATCCTGGAAGCTTCAGAAGTCAAATGTTGTATTCTTCCTAGTATACTTATCTGGAGGACATGAATTATAAAAACTGCTAAGTAACCATTAGCATTCATCTTTTCTGGCCTAAGAAAGGAAATGCACCTCTCTCTTGTACATAAAAATGAAAGCACCCTTTTCTAACATAAGTTTTCTGTATTGAAGTTAGAAACAAAATAGAATTAAGCAGATATATGAACACACTTGCATTTGTTCTTTATTTTCTGTGCAAAAGAAATAGTTTCACAGTCTTGTTTATGCTCATATGCCTCTTTTAGCTCCTTAACCCTAAGGATTAAAGTTACTTACTGGAAGAACATTTTTGGATATTTAATCTTCATCTGTAATAAATGTTGAGTCATTTAATTATGTTGCTAAGTATAATGTTATTTGATGACCCAGAGTAGAAAACATATTAATTAGGCAGCCATTTTTGTCGACATTATATTTCTTGCTGTGTTGGTCAGAATTAAATGTCAGAATCAGAATTAAATGATTAGTATATGATGTACAATGAGGCTCACAGCTATTTGTCAGTGACGTGGTATGATGCACGCAATCTATTTTCTTTCTAGTTTGGCAGGGAAAAGTCATGTACATTGCATCTGCATCTAGAGAACAGTTATCCACTCTTAAATACCAGCTGTTGATATTTTACCTTGTTTAATTTGGAACAAACTCAGACCTTGCAATGCTCTACATCAACGGTTAGACCACATCAGATAAAATGGTCAAATAAAGTAACTCAAGAAATTAATTTGATTTCAGGTTGACTTGGCTGGGACCACAGTAGAAAGAAGAGTCAAGATTGAACAAGTACAGTACAACTCCCGTTACCATGCGGGACCAGTACCCCTACCCATATTTGACAAAATATATCATCTCCCAAGAATTTTCTTGGTCCTTCAGGCAATTCTGTGGTTTACTTCTGCCAGAAGTTACCATAAAATTTCTAGATCTTCCAGGGTGATGCTATGGTAACATTTGGCAGAAGTAATTCATATCCATAGTGTTCACTAGTATCCATAGTTCACTAATATCCATAGTTTTCTGTTTCCACTGTAAGTTCAGGAACCTATCCCGTGCTGCTATGGGATTGTAATGTAATGTCTTTTACATTACAATGTAATGTCTTTTACATTACAATGTAAGTATGAGTAGGAAGGTGAGATACACATCTGTTTCCAAGCTAGGAAGCTCTTCATAAGGCATGGAGGTGTAGTTTCCTGTAACAATTTAACCTCTAAAGCCCAAACTAATTGGTGAGGAAAGCATGGAGGTGGAGGGTGAAGAAGGGAGATTTCAACTCAACCTCTGTCCATTGTATTGACACATTGTGCCAATACAAATTCCCAAACTCTGGTTCTCTGGGTGTTTTGAACTTCAATTCCCAGAATCTCTGACCATTGACCAAAGTAGCCAAGGCTCCTGGGAGTTGAAGTCCAGAGCACCTAGAGGACCAGAGTTTGGGAATCAGTGCTCTGACACTATCTCCATTTCAAGGGAGTTTCCTGAGGCCCTAAATCTGAATGATGCTTTAGCTTTGCTTTTCAGAATTTCAGGATAATCATAATTCTTTCAAACCATCCCACTTATTTCAGGCCACTTGGAGATCTTTAATTTTACGTAGACCTTCGTTAACATAAATATAGTTAGATGCTTCAAGATATTCAGGTAGAGCTTCTTTCTTGAAGATTTCCATTGACTTATTTCTGTAGATCTGCAATAGCACCTTAAAGTAGAGAAAGCATGCAAACATGTCTGTTGTGCTGTCTTGACCCTTTGCTCTTAATTCTTGTTTATCAAAATCTTTCTGTGCTTCCTCGCCCAATTTATTGTTTTGTTTTCTCTCTCCTTTCTCTCTGTCTCTTTATGCAGACAAACGTTGGAGAAGAGCAGACATTGACGGTAGGCAACAATAAATGTTTTGTTTTTAAAAACATCTAGAGGCACCTTGTTTCTCAAATGTATTTGTATGTGCCAATATAAGTGCAAATCTGTGTTGTACATTGCCAGATGTGATTCTTTTAAGTGGATGTTTCATAACTGAGGACAGAAGGGTAAGAGAAGGCCACCCATTTGTTGTTTAGTAAAATTCATCCAAGGCAGTGGTCCTCAACCTGTGGGTCCCAAGATGTTTGGGCCTTCAACTCCCAGAAATCCTAACAGCTGGTAAACTGGCTGGTATTTCTGGGAGTTGTAGGCCAAAACAGCTGGGGACCCACAGATTGAGAACTACTCCAAGGTAAACATAGTCTACGGTAGCTTATGGTACTAACTTGGTTCTCTCAGTTACTCTCTAAGGTGCTCCAAGATCCTTGTGCATACTGATATCCAGACTAACAAGTACATTACATAAATTTAACCATGAAGTTAACCATGCCTAGGTTATCTCTCACCAGTTAGAGAATTAACTAAAGGTTAGCTGCATGAATCTCTAATGCTCAGATGGGTCCAAGAGTATGCCAAACGGAACCTGTTGTTTTGGCAGGAGTGCAAACAGGTTGGACACAAATTTGTTATATCCAAGAACTATCAGTTTTGTAGTTCCACACTTTTTTGAGCATTAGGTTTCAGTTTATTGATCTTCTACTAGACCATTTCCACATCTATCAAATACAAAAATTTCTGTAGCATGTGAACATTACTTTTAAAACTAGAGCTCCCAGAATCCCCTAGTGAACCAAAAAGTAACTTTTCCAGGCTCTGGCTTAGTACCTTGACAGTCTTATCTTTCTGGGAGCAATACCATTGGGTTGTCAGCTTACAGATTGCATATTGTTTCAATAGCACAAATGAATTCAATATAGCAGCTTGATATAGGGATTTAAAAGGCAGAGGGATAGAATAGAACCAAGTACACAAATGCCATCCTCTTCTAAATGAAATTCTTTGACCTGAAATGTGAAGGTTTAGGTATGTGTGAGAGGTGTTGCTGCTTTGGAATGCAATGCAATAAATACACTTCCTAAAAGGCATTCAAAATCTCTCTTTTTCCTTCCTGCTGTTTTAGACAAAGCCACGTCTCCAGCGGGGTGGAAGCTCTGCATCCCTGCACAACAGTCTCATGAGGAACAGCATTTTCCAACTTATGATTCACACCCTTGACCCACTTGCTGAAGGTATCACTATAATGACAACAGTTTCCTATCTTGTTTCCTCACTGTGTAGATACTGTTTAAAATTATTTTCAGCAGCTAATACTTCTTCTCCCCTGTTCTCTGTGGACACATTTCATAAGTGCATGTTTCCTGTTAAATCTCAGTAGGACGTGCATGCCTGTAAAACCTTCCCACGCACAAATGTTTATAAAGTGCCTGTTGTAATATAGCCCCTGCTGAAGTCATTCCTCTCCTTTCAGTAGCTTTTAAATAGGTAAATTGAATTGTGTATAAAGTGTTTGTATGGAAAGGGCTGTTCTTAATAGGACAAAACTGAGCTTTCCTACAAGTAAAATATGTCTTTTTGGAATAAGACTCTCTTTTGAAAATTGTTGCATTCCTCAACAGAATTGAAGTCTTTATATGCAACTGATAACAATGACTCAAATGATTGTTCTGTACTAAAAGTGCAAGGAAAACAGGTTCCACCTCAAAGCTTTTAAATTCCATTATTAAAATGCAAAAGCTCCACAGCAATCTGAACTAACAGTTTCACTTCAAATTATAAAAGTTAATATTGCTCAGTGTAAGAGGTGAGCGTGCAATTCTGTCATCCTCTTGTTCTATGTTTTGTTCTATGTTTTGTCACTATGTCTTTGCCCAAATAAGCCCATTTATTGCTATGTTATATCAAAAACAATTTTAGATCACTTTGAGTTTTTTAAAGTTATGTTTTACTGAAACCATTCACAATTGGTGCTGAAAATGCCGATAATATTGGGAATGTTGGCTTTTTATTTTTTTTCTTAATAAATCATAAGTGACTGAACAATATTCTGCCACCTCAGATGAGAAACAAGGCACATGATTAAAAGTTGTGCTTGCATAAAATTTCTGTTTGAAAGCATATCTGGCTTTTAGGCCCAGGTATCTGTGCAGCAGCAATCTGACATTAGAGTAGATAAAATTTCTTATTGGAATAACTCTTGTTAATTACATAAGGTTCAGAGAGACATGCTACTCAATTTCTGTGATATTCTAAAAGGGTTTAGATAGAAATTTTTGAAATTCAATGTGAGAATGAATACTTAATAATATTATTATCATTGCTAACACAGAGAGTCCCCAGTGGCGCAGTGGATTAAACCGCTGAGCTGCTGAACTTGCTGACCGCAAGGTCGGCGGTTTGAATCCAGGTTGGCAGGAGCTCCCACTGTTAGCCCCAGCTTCTGCCAACATAGCAGTTTGAAAACATGCAAGTGTGAGTAGATCAATAAGTACCGCTCCGACAGGAAGGTAATGGCACTCCATGCAGTCATGCTCGTCACAAGACCTTGGAGGCATCTATGGACAATGCTGGCTCTTCAGCTTAGAAATGGAGATGAGCACCACGCCCCGGAGTCGGACATGACTAGACTTCATGTCAAGGAAAAACCTTTACTTAACACAGAGAAATTTTTCTTCAGGTTGGTTGTGAAAATGCCACCATCTTTTAAAAGCTTTCTTAAAAAGACACGAAAGGCATATAGAAAATATTAATAAAAAGAAGAACTATGGAAGGAAGGAAGGAAGGAAGGAAGGAAGGAAGGAAGGAAGGAAGGAAGGAAGGAAGGAAGGAAGGAAGGAAGTTGGGTTAAACATTATGATATGATTCCCAACATAAACTACATGTTTATGTTTGGTTCTGAAAGTACTTGGGTCAGTAGATCCTATAGACTTTAACCTCCCATTTGTCAGCTTAGCTACTTAAGCAGTGGTTTTTTTTCTTATCCTGTATATATGTATAATCACAAACATATGTTGCTTTTTAGCCAATGTAACGAGGCAATGATAAATGGCAGTAAAGGTTTAAATTCTGTAGTAAAGAAAGTACCACTTCCCTAGACCTACTTGTTCAGTATGGTATTGTAAGTTGAGTTTGCCATGGATAAGAAAACCCAGACTCACTTTGAATCCACTGCTGGCTGTCCACACAAAGGGTTTTAGGGGTTCAACCAACTTTGCACCACTTTGGGGAAAGTTGGCAGAAACGCTGGCACTTGCTAAAAACTCCGGAGTATCCCACAGCTTTGGGACAGTCACGACAGGGAGATTGGCTCTGATTTAGAATGATCCACTGTCCAGATGGGATACTGGCGCCATCACCCATTTCCTTCACCAATAATTGTAAGGTAGTGGTTCTCAACCTGTGGCTCCCCAGATGTTTTGGCCTTCAGCTCCCAGAAATCCTAACAGCTGGTCCACTGGCTGGGATTCCTGAGAGTTGTAGGCCAAAACACCTGGGAACCCACAGGTTGAGAACCACCGTTGTAAGCGAAAGGCATGAACAGCACCTGTGTCGCTGTTGCCTGTTTCATCCAACCTCCTGGCTGTTGCAAGTGCCCCATTTTGACATAACCAACACTTGATTCTACTTTATTCAACCGTTCTTTTTACCACCGTTCAAGAGGAATATTAACCAGCTGGATCCTCTACATTATGAAGAGTAGCTTAGCGAATGTGTTTAGCCTGGAAACGAAAGGTTAAGAGGAGACTTGATAGCCATTTTAAAACTATTTGAAAGGATGTCGAATTGATGATGGAGCTCGCTTGTTTTTTGCTGCTCCAGAGACTAGGACATTGAGCAATGGAACAAAACAAAGAGATTCCACCTGAATATTAGAAATAACTTCCTGAATATTAGAAATTGCTGCTTGACAGTTGAGTAATGAATATGCTACTCTAGAGGATGATGGTGTCTCCTTCATTGGAAGTTTTTAGACAAGAGATTGGAAGATCATGTGTTGGGAGTGTTTGGATCGACTATACCTGCATGGCAGAATGGGGATGGTCTAGATGGCCCTTGTGGTCTCTTCCAACTTTATGATTCTGTTATTGACTTATTCTCCAAAATAAACCATAACATACTATACAACTAATTTACAGTAAAAGGGAATAACCCAATAATATTGTCAAATAATTTCTGTATACAGAATACAAATTCTCAAGGGCAGCCATTTCAACTTATCTCTCCTCAGATGGGATGATTTCACCAGGTTGGTTTCTAAACACATGTCCTTCTATAGAAAGATACTGGAGACCTCATTTGAGAAAAAAGATACACCTGCAGGAAGAAAAGCTGCAAATGCAGCTAAATATTCCCTCAAGTATCTGCAAATTCACCCCTTCTTCCGAAGGAAACCTAAAACCTTTCCATCTCAGCTCTTATCAAGTACACAAAGGAGAATCGGACATATCTGTTCTTGTTTTTGCACTATTCATTCTCCTTCAATGTCAATATATTTTTGTTAGAATTCTTTTAAGGTGTACTACCTCAGTATGCATACCAAAGTGGGTTTTTAAAAAATGAAAATGTATTAAAATGATAGTGGCTATGCGGGATTGATAGTAGTAAGATAAATAGATTAAAATGAATTTCCACCAGCTAAAATGGTTGCTTTTGTAGGCCATTTAAATGCCCATCATGATTAAATGGCAAGTGTGGGGGATTACCCTGATGATTACTTCTTTCATTGGGGATTTTGAAGGCATAGGTTTCTGTTTGTAAGTCCAAAATAAGAGAAAATTGCATTTTTATCATCTTATTTAATATGATATGGAAATAAATGGCATTCTAATGGCAGAGATGGTGCTAGTTTATGCAGTGAAAAATGCACTTTTTATCTACTGTAGAATAATAAAGAGGCCTGTGTTATTATATATTTTCAAACAGTTTAGCAGAATTTCCAGGTAGAGCTTAAACTGTGAAATAAAATTGGGAAAATGTTTATAGAGTTTTATTTTTACCTTTACTGTTGGAAGAAAGTTCAGCCTGGGAAAAGAAATGGCCCTCACTTAACTTTGAGCACTATCCATAAAAAAATCTGTTTAAAACATGATATTAAATAATAGGCATGACTCCTGCAACCTTTTTATCCCTTTCTTCCATTAAGATACATTAATTGACTTGAAATAAAAAAATAAGGAAGAAAGGAATAAATACATTTTCCTTTGTTTGTAAAAATGGATGATTTTCCTGACTTTACCCATTAATCTCAACAGTAACAATGACAAATCACAAATGTTATCAGAACATATAATGAGTGGATCCCACCAAACTTGTCTACCCACTCTATTTATATCCAAGGGCAGAATACCTTTTTCCCCAAATCACAAAACTGTCAAGCTTTATCAAAGATTTTTCATAAAGCAAAGTTATTTTCAGGCATGATTTCTATAGTTTTTTTCTAAATAGGCAAGAACAAATAGGCTGGGAACAAGTGATGACACCCCACTTCAAACTCAGAGTTGGATACATTCCTTGAGTGCAAAGACTGGGAGCAGCTTGGCATGAACAGGACAGGTTCTTGTTGCTTCTTATGCTGCTTTGCATTTGCAAAAGAAGGGGGGGGAGGTCATTTTTTGCATTTTGGGAAGCTCTACATGGGGACTGCATCCCCAGTAGACTAGTTTGAACCCTCTAGCTATGTTAGAAGGAAAGTATTTGGGATAACCAATACCCTACATCATCAGACATAGCTATAACAATGGAGTGGCATCATTATTGGTAACTTCTACCATAACCCCCCCACCACCACCACCACCACCACCTATCTATTAAGGCAGGCAGCATCCCAACCAAGGGGTTTCCTGTGCATTATGGAATGAAGTACAGGCAGTCCCCAGGTTACAGACCATATAAGTTCTGTAGGTCTGTTCTTAAGTTGAATTTGTTTGTAAATTGGAACAGATAGATATTTACAATGTAACTCCAGCCATTTTTTTAGCCTGAAGGATGAATGTCCCTGTAATGTTTCTTTTGCCATCTGTTCCCCTGTTCAGAAGATTTCACCTCACTTTCTGTCTCTGGGACCTTCCACACAGCCCTAACTTAGAATATCAAGGCAGAAAATCCCACAATATCTGCTTTGCACTGGGTTATCTGAGCACACACTCAGATAATGTGGGATTTTCTGTCTTGATATTCTGGGTTATAGGGCTGTGTGGAAGGACCCTCTGTGACAATTGGATTTTGAAAACTT